GAGTAGGAGTCTCACTCTATCGCCCAGGCTGAAGTGCAGTGACATGCTTATGGCCACCGCAGCCTTGGCCTGCTGGGCTCAGGTGATCCTTCCAACTCAGCCTTCCAAGTAGCTAATGTGCCATCACGCCTCGCTAATTTTTTAAAATTTATTTTAGAGACAAGGTCTCGCCAAGTTGCTCAGACTAGTCTTGAACCCCTAGACTCAGGCAATCCTCTCGCCTCCGCCTCCCAAAGTGCTGGAATTACAGGCGTGAACCACCACGCTCGGTGCCACAGATAAATTTCAAAGCATTATGCTAAATCAGGATTAGGCAACTTTTTCTGTAAAAGGCCAGACAGCAGTGTTTTCAGTTTTGCAAGCCATATGGTCTGTCACAACTACTCAATCCTACTCTTATAGCACAAAAGCAACCACAGACAATGCTTAAGGAATGAAAATGACTGTGTTCCAATATAATTCATTTATAAAACAGGCAGAGGCCTGGATCTGGCCTACAGGCTGTTTTTGCTGACACCAGTATTAAGTAAGGAGTATTCCTCATGGACATAGATTACACTTTAAAATTATCTGTAAGCCTCAAAGCACTTAGCCACAGGCTAAGGCAAATACTAAATCAATGAATGAAAAGATCCCAACATAATCAGATTAGGAAAAATTACCTGTGGATCTGATCTTGCCTGCTAGAGCGAACTGGAGCTAATCCATCTATTTCATCAAAAAATATTATAGAAGGTCTCATCAAATATGCCTAGTAAGAAGAAAATAAATGTTATTTATTGAATTCATTTTTATTTTCAAAATTTACTGTATTTTCTTAATAGACAATTCAAGAAATGATACCACATGTAGCAGGTGTGAAAGAGTATATAGTAAAAAGGGAAGCTCCTCGTCATCACACTCTCCAACAATATGGTCTCCTCCCAATAACTACCGTTTTCAGTTTGTTAACTCTTCTATACACATAATCAAAACTGTATTTTTATTTTTTTATTATTATACTTTTTTTGAGGCAGAGTCTCACTCTGTTGCTCAGGCTGGAGTATAGTGGCAGAATCACAGCCACCACAGCCTCAACCTGATAGGCTCAGGCAATCTTTTCATCTCAACCTTCCAAGTAGCTGGAACTACAGGTGCATGCCACCATGCTGGTTAATTTTTTTATTTATTGTAGAGACGAGGTCTCGCCATGTTGCCCAGGATGGTCTCCAACCCTGGGCTCAGGCAATACTCCCACCTTCTCCTCCCAAAGTGCTGGTATTATAGGAGTAAACCACTGTGGTCGGCTCATTTTAAGCAAATTTTTAGTTCACAGGCAGGTCAGCTTACTAAGGAATAGTAATTTTCCATTTCTTTCTGACTGATAATAATATACATTAAACTTTCAATATTTTCTAATAATTTAAAATGAATGACAATTAAGCCACAAAATGAGGGTTTTAGGAAAAACTTAAAAGAACTGGAATTATATAATAAGAAAAGAAAAGATTAGTTCATTATTTTTATACACATGAAGAAATGGTTTTTTAAAAATAATTACAGGCTCACAGAATTACAAAAAGGAAGTATAGCATACGTTAGTCACTGTGATAAGCACTTTATATATTTCCTCCCAGTGAAATCTCACATTAGTCTTGTGAGACAGGTATTATTTCCGCCGTTGCAAAAAAAAAAAGGCTACTACAGATCAAATGCTTTTATGTATTTAAAGTTATATACTCAATGGTAAAGCCAGATAACATGCCACACTCAGCCAATACACTGTACTGCCTTCATTCCATTTAGTGCATAGACCATATCCTTAATTTAGGAATGTAGAACCTTTCATTTAAAAAAACAATCAAGCTGGGCACAGTGGCTCAAGCCTGCAATCCCAGGACTCTGGGTGGCTCGGCAGGAAAATTGCTTGAGCCCAAGATTTTGAGACCAGCCTGGAAAATATAGCAAGACTGTGTCTCTACCAAAAAAAAAATCAAAAAATTTGCCAGGCATGGTGGTGCATGCCTGTGATCCCACCTACTTGGGAGGCTGAGGCAGAAGGATCCTCTGAGCCCAGGAGGAAAGGCTGCATGCAGTGAGAAGTGATAGTGCCATTGCAGTCCAGCACGAGCAACAGAGTGAGATGGCGACTCAAAATAAAAAAAAGAAAAAAAATCATAACTGCTAGTAATTTTTTTTTTTAAAGAAAGCAAACATTTCAACTACTCCTACCAACCAAGAAACTATGAAACAGAAATAAAGAAGATTTAGATGAAAGAAGCAGCAAGATTTATTCCACAATTTTAAATAAATCCAAGAGATATCTCTACTCCCAGCATGAACTGCTAAAAAGTATAACACGTTAACAAAAAATTTGAATTAAGTCGTTGGCCAATATACCAACATCCCAAACCAATTTTTCCCTCATTTATCAATGTTATCTTATGTGTATATTTTTCAATTACTATCAAATTCTCTTGAAGCACTCAGACTGCATATGTTTGACTTGCCACTAGACAATAGATACCTTAAAGGTAAAAATCTTTGTTGAACTTGGTGGCTTACACCTGTAATCCCAGCACTATAAGAAGTGGAGGTAAGAGGATTGCCTGAGCCCAGGGGTTTGAGACAAGCCTGGGCAACTTGGCGAGACCCCGTCCCTACAATAAATAAATAAAAATTAGCCAGGCGTGATAGTGCATGCCTGTATTGCCAGCTACTTGGAAGGCTGAGGCAGAAGGATCGCCTAAGCTCAGCAGGTCAAGGAAAATTGCTTGAGCATGCCACTGAACTCAGTGAGCATGCCACTGAACTCAGGCCTGGGCAACAGAGTGAGAGACCAACTAAAAAGACAAATATCTTGCCTATTACTCTTTCTAAACCCATTATCTAGAACACAGAAGTTTTTGATACTAACAATAATTTTAAAATAATATTTGAAATGTTTTACCAACTACAAAGGACTTTCACACACACCAACTTAGTAATGGTGCTCAAAAAAAATACGTGTTGAAAGCATTTTTTTCTTCCCACCCCCCCAAAAAACATTTTTTATTTCATATTAATTTTCTTAGACACAATCAAATATAAGTTGCACTGTTAAATAAGAATGGTTCCTTCAATAGCTCAATCAAAAGTGAATTTATATCAGGACTAATTTTTTTTTTTTTCGAGTTGGGAGTCTCACTCCGTTGCCCAGACTGGAGTGCAGTGGCTGCTCCCAGCCACCGCAGCCTCGACCTGCTGGGCTCTGGCAATCCTTCGGCCTCAGCCTTCCAAGTAGCTGAAACTACAGGCGCGTGCTACCACGCCTGGCTAATTTTTTGATTTATTGTAGAGATGAGGTCTCGCCAAGTTGCCCAGGCGGGTCTCGAACCCACAGGCTTAGGCAATCCACTCACCTCAGTCTCCCAAAGTACAGGATTACAGGCTGAGCCACCAAGCCCGGCTGGACTAATTTTTATAAGGTTTAGGAAATAACATTTTTAAAGTTAGTTACATATAAATACTAGAGACACTCTATACTATATTCATTCACCTTACTCTGCCTTTTAAAAGTATTCACTTATTTTTTAATTTTTCCAGTATCATATTTACAATTCATGAAAATAAATAACATGCTACTTTGTGAGATTTCTTGCACAGATAGTTAACCTTTTATTACTGCCCTACTTCCTCAATTGGATTATAATCTGTATGTTTATCCTGGGTTCTCAAAAGCACCTAGCATGGCATTATATCCCTGGTAATCACTTCAGTAAATGTCTTATGAATCATCATAAATATTCAAAAGTACTAGTGAAACTGCTATTAAACACCTCTAAGGCATACGATTATAGATTACCGATCCCAAATTTAACATATTGATCGGAAAATATGTCTCCTAATAACCAGACTATATTTGCAGATTAAATGTATTAAATATTCTAAAGAAAATGTTCTTGAATTAACTGGTTTCTCTTACCTGATCAAAAAGAAGCCTAAGTTGCCTTTCAGATTCACCAACCCACTTGCTCAAACAATCTGCTCCTTTTCGCATAAAAAAAGCCACCTTCTTGTCTCCTTGACTGCATTCATTAGCTAAAGCTCTGGCCACCAAAGTTTTACCTGTGCCAGGAGGGCCATAAAACAAACATCCCCTAGAGGAATGAAGAATCAAGAAAAGTAAATTAATACCACCACTGGTGGCAACCAAATTTAAAAGATGTCCCTTCCTCTCATGTAATTTTGTATCGATATATATTATTATTATTAGATCGTGATAAGTATTTTCCAGTATACAGATAAAAGTTTCACTTTGCTGAGTCCTCAAAGTACCAAGCATTGGTACACAAGAAATAGTTAAAGTTCAGAGTGATCTGGTAAGAAATACTGAAATTTTAAATGTGCTTTCCTATGATCCAGAAATTTCACATCTTAGAATATATCACATAGAAATACTCAAAAAATGTATAAAGATCCATTTAATTATTTTTTTAATAAGATCTTCCAGGAGGTGGGAATGGCAGTAGTGGGAAACTGCCTGGGGAAGGGGAGCACACCTCATCAATAAGGGTACCTGCACAATGAACATTTGTATACCTAACCCTGAATTATACCCCACAATTTTAAAATAAAAAATTTAAAGATGAAAAAAATAAATAAATACATATATACATGAATAAATAAATAAAAACAACATTACCACCTGATATGAAAAAAAAAATAAGATTTTCCATATTCTTAAACATATGGAAACGAATTAGAACCAAATCTAAGAATAAAAAGTCCCTCCTCAATGAAAACAGACACTTTTCAGTTTAAATCTAAGTCTATATGTATACCTTCAGAATATTCTTTGCCTGCCCAATTTCCTTTAACATAATTTCTCAGCCTTTCCTTATAGTTCACTAGCTAGCCACCTCATGATCAGATATAACCTATTAATAAAAAATAGTAAGTTATCACGTTCACCCTATTTCAAAAATACCCCATTATAAAATCAAAGAAACATGTCAATGAAATTGTGCTTAGTTCCACAGCCTATGGGCCCTAACCAGTAACATTTCATTTCTAATTGATATTGCTAGGACATATCAAATAATACATATGAAATATGTATGTTTATAATAATTTACTCAATTAATTGAAATCTGATAAAGTAACATTAATAACAATAATAAACATCTAAGACATTACTTACCTTGGAGGCTGAATTTTAAACTTTTCAAAAATTTCTGGATATAAAAGTGGGAATACTACCATTTCCTTTAGTGCATGAATATGATGGCTCAATCCACCTATGCTATCAAACCGCACCTTGGAAAAATGGGGGAAAAGTTTGATATAAAATAATTTTATATGTTCTATGGAATTTTTAAAATTTATAAAGTAATTTTATGGATTCAGAAATACGTGCCTCCAGTAGAATTTTTTAAATATAACTACAAATAAATATAGAAAAATAAAGTCAACAGTAAAACAAATTTACATTTCAGTTCAGGAACATTAAGCTACAATTCTTTCGTCTGGTAAACTAAGGACCAGGATTAATGCCCAACCTAAAACTTTAACAGGTAGCTATAGGACATGCTATTCATGTTATAACAGTTTAAATGACTTTTGAAACATAAAATATTTTTGTGCATTCATTCCCAGAAGGGGTAATATCCCCAAAGGGGCAAAAAAATTGGTTCAAGGGTAGGACAAGAAAATCTTAGCTATTACAATGACTTGCAGGTCTCTAAAATTTAACTTTACCTGACAAAATCTTATTTGTTAATATTTCATTTCTCTAGTTAAAGTTAATTTGTCACTTTATAGAACAACAATTTAAAAAATAGTTTGAAAAACACTGATCTATAACAAGAAGCAACAAAGATTGTTCCTTCCATTCATAACAGTTTAAACAGCTAGACTTTGTAAAAAAGAAAAGCATAGTAAAAAACTGCTGACTGGGCACAGTGGCTCACAACCGCAATCCCAGCACTTTGAGAGGCTGAAGTAGGAGGATGGTTTGAGCCTAGGAGTTCTAGACCAGCCTAGTCAACATCTCAATACCTCATCTCAGAAAAATTTTAAAAAGTTTTAAAGTTAAAGAAAAAAAAATGCATGAAAGATATTTTGCCAAGATGTTTAAAAGTAATTGCCTTTGACTACTGGCGTATGGGAGCTCTCTTTCCCTGATTCTTCATGCTATTATGGTACTTGAAAATGTTTCATGATAAATTTATTGCTATGATAGAAAAAGCTTAAGTAAACTAGAAAAATAAAAACAAGTTAAATAACAGAAATATACTAGGAGAAGATAAATTTCTAGTATATAATATCAAATTTTAAAGAAGTTACTCGAACTGACTGTCAGAAATCTAAAGTCTAGATTTAATACAGTAAAGTACCAAACACTACTAGGTAAGGTCCTCTGAGAAAATTTACTGTTAGAAATAAGATTCTGGTTTGTTTTTGTTTTTTAGTTGGCATCTCACTCCATTGCCCAGGTTGGAGTGCAGTGGCACGCACAGCGTCAACCTGCTAGGCTCAGGCGATCCTTCGGCCTCAGCCTTCCAAGTGGCCGAACTACAGGCACGCACTACCACATCCAGCAAATTTTTTATTTATTGTAGAGACGAGGTCTTGCCAAGTTGTCCGAGCTGGTTTCAAACACACAGGCTCAGGCAATTCACTTGCCTCAGCCTCCCAAAAGGCAACCCAAAGTGCTGGGATTACAGGCTGAGCCACCAAGCCCAGCCGTCTGGGCATATTTAATACTCAAATTCCTTAGGTCTTCAATAAAACACGATAAATATTTTCCTCTATAACTTCAGATTATAGAATTAAAATTTCATCTTCAAATATATATGCAACTCTATTTGATAAATTCTTTTAAATCTCTTGTATGAGAATCAAATTATGCCACATAGATTTATGAGAACATAGACAAAAATACATATCAAATAAGTTTTCGGTTATGTAGTAGTCTTATTCCAAAGTAAGATACTACTAATAATGAGAAAAAAAATCTACCATGTTCTCTGAACTGCAAGTCTCTTTACATGCTACATATCTTCCCTGAGTACAATCTTCCATTTTCCATAGAGACTCCAACAACCTTTAATATCGATGGCCCATATCTGAATTTCTAGCCCAGATATTTCTCCTTAATTATCTACCTGCTATATATTTCAATAACATTAAAATAGTGAGACCCCAACTCAAAAAAAAATTGAAAAACCTGACTAACACATGTGACCAGGGTTCTGAGGTTCCAAAACATATATATCAAAACATTAATATTGGTCATATTTAATTTTTCTACATTTTTTAAGTGCTGACTTAGAAAAAAGGAAAAACTTTTTAAAAAGAATACTTCTAGAAAAACATTTATAAAACTTACTGATTTATCAATGTTCATTGGATCAACATCAGCCAAGCTTGCACCAACTTTTACTCGTTCTCGGAGAATACCACTAGCTAAGTCTTCTGCTCTGAAGTTCATAGGCAAACATCTGAAATTGATAAAAATTCAAGTAAAATAGCATTAAAAGTTTCACATTTTTAATGTCAAAATAAACCTAAATCTTTGTCATAATTCCATCTTTCTCTTTTCTCTCATAATCCAGAAAATAACACCAAAATATTTCATTATTTTAAATATTTCTCTTTTGTCTTTTTTTTCAGTTGGGGTCTCACTCTGTCATCCAGGCTAGAGTATAGTGTGACACTATCATGGTTCACCGCAGCCTTGACCTTCTGGGCCCAGGCAATTCTTCTATCTCAGCCTCCCAAGTAGCTGGGACTATAGGCAGGCACTACCACACCCAGCTAATTTTTTTTTTATTTTTTATAGAGACAAGGTCTCACTATGCTGCCTAGGCTGGTCTCAAACTCCTAGGCTCAAGCAATCCTCCCACATTAGCCTCCCAAAGTGCTGGGATTATAGGAGTGAGCCACCACACCGGGTTGTGTTTCATATTTTTAAACTACTTTTCCTAAATTCTTTTTAACTGACTAAAAATAAAGTTATTCACAAGACAAAGAAAGCAAGATCATTAATCTGCTGTCAAAGGGCCTAATATATTCAAATTTAGAAAAATAACATACCTGATATCCAATGTTATACAACTATTAAATAAAAATAGATCTACAGTTACTAAAATATATGTAATTAAAATGAATTCAGGCCAGGCTCAGTGGCTCAGCCTGTAATCCCAGCGCTTTAGGAGGCCGAGGTAAGTGGATTGCCTGGGCCCGCGGGTTCAAGACCCGCCTGGGCAACATGGCCAGACCTCATCTCTACAACAAATAAAAAAAACTCAGCTGGGCGTGATAGCGCAGGCCTGTAGTTCCAGCTACTTGGAAGGCTGAGGTGAAAGGATCACCTGAGCCCAGCAGGTTGAGGCTGCAGTGGCTGGGAGCGGCCACTGCACTCCAGTCTGAGTAACAGGGTGAGACTCCAACACACACACAAAAAATGAAATCAAAATGTGTAAAAATATTTAAAGTTATCCTCAGATACATGAATATGTCTACTTGTTCATATGAGTGAAAAAAATTCTTTCCGTTTTGTTCAAAGGAAACGTATTCTAGTTCACATCTTGAGAACTGTATTTTATCTTCTGTGTAATTACCTTGAGAGAGATCTCTAGCTACCTAAAATACTACACTACATTATTTATTCTTACTATCTCCCCCAAGTAAACATAATCTACTTCCTCTTTTAACATTGAGTGAACACTAAAATTGCAGTCTCAAAAAAGTACAGCTTCTATAATAAATATACTTCAATGACATTTTTGAATCCCAATTTACCTTAAAAATATATTATCAAAGTAGATTATCAGAGTAGTGTAGATTAAATAGGCATTAAATTCTTTTATTTAAACTTATATTTTTCCCATACTGTTTTATGAGTTAGAATCTCACTCTGTAGCCTAGGCTGGAGTGCAGTGGCATGTTCACGGTCACCACAGCTTCAACCTGCTGGGCTTAGGTGATCCTTCCACCTCAGCCTTCCAAGTAGCTGGAACTACAGGCATGTGCCACTGTGCCTGGCTAATTGTTTTTTTTTTTTACTTATTGTAGAGATGAGGTCTCGTCAAGTTGCCCAGGCTGGTCTTGAACCCATGGGCTCAGGCAATCTTTTCACCTAGGCCTCCCGAAGTGCTGGGATTATAGATGTGAACCACCGTGCCTGGCCCCATACTTTTTCTTTCCATAATTTACCTGCAGAATTATTTTTTGGTACACAATCAATACCAATCCAAACGAGTTTCTAAGGTCTGCGACTGAAGACTTAGTATTTCCTCTTCAACAGACACGTAATTTGACGCCTTAATTATTTGCTAGACAAATACAGGTTCTCTTCCCCAGTGAAAATTCTTCAAGGTTTTAGAGAGCTGCATTAATAACCTCAGTTAGACAAAGATGACCAGAGACACTCATTCAATCAACAACAAAAGCAAAATAAAATTTTCCAAAAAAACCCAAAATCTCCTGAAAGAATTTTATTAGAAATCTTATCTTGCTGGGCCTCACGCCTATAATCCCAGCAGTTTGGGAGGCAGAAGGGAGAGGATTGCCTGAACCCATGAATACAAGACCAGCCTGGGCAACTTGGCGAGACCTCGTTTCTACAATAAATCAAAAAATTGCAGCCAGTCATGGTGGCACGTGCCTGTAGTTCCAGTTACTTGGAAGGTTGAGGTGGAAGGATCACCTAAGCCCAGCAGGTCAAGGCTGCAGTGGCTGTGAGCGAGCCACTGTACTCCAGCCTGGGTGACAGAGTAACACTCCTATTCAAAAAAAAAAAAAAAAGAAAAGAGGCAGAAGAAAATACAGATGCTGCCACATAGGTTGACCTCTCACTTCATTGGCTCCCCTTCCTTTACCTTTCTACACATTACTTTATTATGACTACTTACAGACTAAGTAATTTAGGAAAATTTCCCAAGATAAGATTTCTACTAAAAGAATAATTAGGCAGAAATCAAGTCAGTCATGACACTAGTCTTAAACATGTACTGGATATCAATGTTAGCAAAGTGGTAGTATAGATAAGAAACTCATTAAAATAAAATTTTAAAACCTTGCTCATCCTTTTTGTCTACCATAGAAATAACATTAAAAATTTACTAACCTATTTCTTGCTCTTGCCATGCTCTTTGATTTCCTTCTTTCAAAGCGTTCTTCATCAGAAGACGTTGTATCACTACTATGAATGGCATGCTTCTTTCGCCTAGTTAAAAAAAGCAAAACCCTTAAAACCATTATAGTAGCAAATGGTTTCTTAAAAAATTATAAACATCATGTCTACAATTAGCTCAGTAGAAAATTCATTCAGCAAATATTTATTAAGATCTTTCCCTCATACATTTCCTAGCTAATGAAATATAAAGGTAGTAAGTGCTGCAGAGAAAAGAGGAATAAAAAGGAGAAGATGCCTAAAATTTTTAAAAATAAGGTGATTCAGAAAATGAATCAACAAACAATTTAATTTGCATCCAAACTTAGAAAATATGTCACTGTTTGATAAAAAGCATTAGAATTTTAGAAAAGAAAGCATGTCTTTGCCTTTTTTATTCTCTTTCCCAAATAGTAAGAAACAGTGCAGACATTAATAGAACTTAGAAAAATGCTAAGCATTGTGGCTCACGCCAGTAATCCCAGCACTTTGAGAGGCAGAGACAAGAGATTGCCGAAACTCAGGAGTTCCAGACCAGGCTGAGAAACAGATTTCGTCTACACAATAAATCCAAAACAAAAATTAACCAGGTATGGTAGCACACGCCTGCGGTTCCAGTAACCTGGAGGGCTGAGGTGGAAGGATCGTCTGAACCCAACATGTTGAGGCTGCGGTGGCCGTCAGCATACCACTGCACTCCAGCCTGGTGACAGAGTGAGATGCCAACTCAAAAAAATTTTTTTTTAAATAAAGAACTTTAAAAAAACACACTGGTTTACAGGAAGATAAAGGCTTTCACTTCCCACTTAAGAAACTTCTATCCTGTTTCAATTTATTATAAAATATATAATTTTTTATGTTGCCCAGGCTGGTCTCAAATTCCCGGCCTCAAATGACCCTCCTACCTCAGCTCCACAAAGTGCTGGGAATACAGGCATGAGGCACTACACCTGGCCTCATGAAATATTTTGAAGGAAAAAAAGATATAATTTATAATCAGAACTATTATAGAATAGTTAGGCAATATATCAGTCATCCCAATGAAGAAATAATACTTGGTGAATACTAGATTATTAATATAACTAATGACATCACTAAGATACCTAGAAAATATAACAAAATCACCACCAAATCGTGTCTTCTCAACAAGTCTAAACTGAATCCATCAGACCCAAATCAAATTTTGTAACCACTTCTTTTAAACTGCATGTTCAGTTAGCAGTTCTACTAACTGCAGCTTGTAAACCTCAGAAATCATCCTAAATCCCTTTTTCCCCACCACATTATCACTACTGGTTGAATCTCTTCATGCTCCCTATAAAAATCCCTTTCATCTTCTCTTTTCATCTACCCATTCACTTACCGCCCCCTTAGTCCTTTAACCACCTCAGCTCTGCTCTGCTCTACTAAAAAAAATCATTTGCCATGATCTTACCTTGGATCTTGTTATCACATCAACTGTTCTGTACTTCTGCAATCTTAAAATTTAATGACCTACTCTTTAAGCACAACCTCCTAACATACCAACTTTCAGGTCAACTCATCAAGACCCACTGTTCCTAAGTATCCATTAATTCATCATCTATCAACATCTTTCTTGGCTTACTTTTCTGTGCTGTCCAGCCTCATTAAGATCTATTATTTCAGTTTTTAATTTTCCCACCCAACTTACTCTGTACCCTTTTTTTCCCATTATAATTGTTAACCTCCACCCTTTACTAATCCAAGGAATAAAAGAGAATGCTGAACACACTTATGAAAATTCACACTTCAAATATTAAAAGAAATAACAAATTTGGTATATGCATACATTAAAACATTTTTCAGCAATAAAAAGGAATAATTCACTCTTATACACAAGGATGAATGTCAAAATCACCATGCTGGGTGAAAGAAGCCTGACATAGAAGATCATACTTTATGATTCTATTCATTAAAAAAATCTCAGAATATGCTAATGTTACTAATAACAAAAAGAACAAAAAGTAACAAAAAAGAAGTTCAGTGGTTACCTACACCAATGGTTGGGGAGAGACAGAATAAAAAGGGGCATAAAGAACATGCAAATGTTCTATTCCTTAACTGTGGCAGTGAATATACCTGTCAAAACTTAACTAATTGAACTTCTCTTTTTTAAGTGGGGTCTCACTCTGTCACCCAGGCTGGAGTGCAGTGGCACAATCACAGCTCACTGCAAACAAGCCCCTGGGCCTCTGCCTCCCAAGCAGCTGGGACTATAGGTGCATGTCTCACTCTTTCTGCCTAGGCTGGTTTCAGACTCCTGGGCTCAAGCAATCCTCCCACCTCTGTCTCCCAAAGTGCTGAGATTACAAACTGAGCCACCGTGCCTAGTGAACATTTTAAATATATACATTTTATTTTATATAAATTATGTTTCAATGAGGTATTTGAATGGGATCCTACAACATAAAAAAGACATTAAGTAAATGCCTAAGAAAACCTAAATAAAGTATGAACTTTAGTTCATAATAATATATCAATATTGGTTTATTAATTGTAACAAATAAACTACACTAATGTTAAACGTTAATGGGGAAAACTTGGTGTAAGCTATGTAGGAACTCTTTACTAGATTTACAATTTTTCTGCGAATCTAAAACTATTCTTAAAAGTTTATTTTTTTTTAAAAAAAACAAATGTGCACTTAAGATCTGTACACTTCTTTGCATGTAAATTTAATTTCAAAAGAAAAAAACTGAAACTAATATTGGACTTTTAACAATATACATGCTGAAGTATTCAGGGGAGAAATGCAGCAATGTCTGTAATTTACTTTTCTAAGTAAATGGATCCAAAAAAGAAGATGGACTGACAGATGGATAGAAACAGATATGTGATAAAGCAAGTATAGCAAAATGAAAATGTAGAATCTAGGTGAGGGATATATCAGTGTTCACTGTAAAATTCTTTCAACTATTCTAGATGCTTGAAAATTTCTATAATAAAATGACGGGTTGTAGCCCAGAGAGTGAAGCTCTTGAGGACTCCTCCTGATCCAGGTCAGCACTCACCCCAAGCTCTCATCATCCTCAGCCCTAGCCCATGCCACCCACCTGCCACGAAGAAGATGGAGCTGATCCAGAAGAAACACCAAGCTAACTGAGAAGACTAAGCACTATGATGACATGGCCACCTGTATGGAGGCCAGACCAAGCAAGGCACTGACCTGTCCAATGAGGAGCGCAACCTGCTCTTAGGGGTCTACAAGAATGTGGTCGGGGACTGCAGCTCAACCTGGAGGATCATCTCGAGCACTCAGCAGAAAATCAATACCTCTGACAAGAAGTTGCAGTTGACTAAGGATTGTAGGGAGTGGAGTCTGAGTTGAGATTCATCTTTATCAAGGTCCTAGAATTGTTGGTTAAATATTTAATAGCCAATGCAACTAATCCAGAGAGTAAGGTCTTCTATCTAAAAATGAAAGGAAATTACTTCTGGTACCTTGCTGAAGTTGCATGTGGTGACAACCAAAAACAAATGATAGAAAATTCCCAAGGAGCTTACTAAGAAGCATCTGATATCAGCAAAAATGAGATGTAAACCACATATCCAATCCGCCTAGGGCTGGCTCTTAACTTTTCTGTATTTTACTTTGAGATCCTTAATAACCCAGAGCTTACCTGCACACTGGCTAAAAAGCTTTTGATGAGGCTATTGTAGAACTTGATACACTGAATGAAGACTCATACAAAGACAGCACCATCATCATGCAGTTGATTAGAGACAACTTAACACTATGGTCACCAGACAGCGCAGGAAGAGAGTGTGATGTGGCAGAAGGGGCCAAAACCTAAATGCATGCAGGATGTCATCCTTCTTCCCATCACAAAACCTTTTTAGACATCTCCATTCCTTATTGTACTTGGATTTCCTATAGCAAAGAACCCACTTATGTGTATGGAGTCAACTGTTTATAGTCTTTTCACACTGCAGCTTTGGGAAAACTCTATTCCTTGATTTGTGTTTGTCTTGGGTTTCCTGGTATGCAGTTACTGCTGTAGAAAAGTATTAATAGCTTCATCTCATAAACATAAGTAACTTCCAAATATTTATGCAGAGGACTAAAAATACATCTGGTATTTAAGTAATCTGAACCAGTTCTGCAAGTGACTGTGTTTTGTACTGTGAAGATATGAAAATGTAGTTAATTATAATCTGAAGAGTGCTCCATATAACTTCTTAGTTTCTACATTCTCTCCCTTACTCTTCAGGGATTTCCTTCAGTAAGCAACTTTTCCATTCTCTTAATGTATTCCTTTTTAGTAGGAATCCAGAAGTATTAGACTGAATGGAAAAGCTCTTGACATTTCTGGACTAGGGGTAACAAACTGAAATGCCTCCAGTATCAGGTATTATGGAGGTCATGTATATCTGTGATAACCAGGAGTTTCCTTATTCGCTCTTCATTTGCTGCTATTTTGACAACTGCTCTTCCCAAATAAAAATTCACTTACATTTCCTGCTTTGTAGCTCTGGTATTCACTTTACTGTGTAATAGAAGTAGCATGTTGCTGCCAGAATACAAGCATTGCTTTTGGCAAATTAAAGTACATGTCATTTTTTCATACACTAGAAATGGGAAATACATTAAAGTACAAAAGTCCAAGTCTAAAAACTTTAGTACTTTTCCATTCAGATTTGTGCACATGTGAGAGGATGTCCAGTTTGTCTAGTGATTGTTATTTAGAGTCGGATCATTATTGTGTGTTGCTAATCATTGACTGTAGCCCTAAACAAGTCTTGTGAAAATGTCATGCCCAACGTAACAGCAGAATGACATAAAGTAAACTTACATTTTATAAGCCATTTGCTATGGCTTTGTAACAATTGCATATCCACATTTTTAAGGAACAGGTGAATTTACTACTTTCTAAAAGTTTATTGATATTTTCCTTTTATCTTATGTAAAATGTCATAGTAATACCTATATTTCTGCATTTTGATACACTTTTCTAAGGATGTGTGGAAATGTATAAAATTGGACTACATTTCTTAAAGTGTTTTACTATAGATCAATCTCATGGGCCATTTCTTCCTCAGATACAAATGATATCTGGTTAAGTGTTATATGGAATAAAGTAGACAATTTAAAACTAGGAAAAAATAAATAACAAAATAAAAATGCCGGGTGCAGTGGCTCACACCTATAATTCTAGCACCTTGGGAGGCCAAGGTGAGAGGACTGCCTGAGCCCACTGGTTCGAGACCAGCCTGGACAACTTGGCAAGACCTCATCTCTACAATAAATCAAAAAATTAGCCAGGCGTGGTGGTGCGTGCCTGTAGTTCCGGCTACTTGGAAGGCTGAGGTTGAAGGACTGCCTGAGTCCAGCAGTTCCAGGCTGCAGTGGCCATGAGGGTGCCACTGCACTCTAGACTGGGTGACAAAATGAGACTCCAACTCAAAAATAAATAAATAAATAAATAAAATGAGAGAGAAAGCAAATTTAAACCTGTATCCTAAATATAGATAATATTTCATTCCCTTCAAATGTCTATGGAACATACACAAAAATAGACTACATATCCAATCACAAAGAAAAACTCAATAAGAACAATACAAATAGTTCCCTCCTCATAATACAGTAAGTATACATGGTGTTATGGTACACATTGAGTTTCGTGGCCACGGTTCCTGGTTTATAACCTTCCTAACCCTTGTCAGAGTTTTGTTACAATGTTGAGTGTGTTAGGCCTCTGGAAACAGAATCTTCCTGATCTTCTCCTGCCCTACTTTCACCTACCTCAAGACAGGACTCTAATCTTCCCCCACCTTATGACTGTAGGTCTAAAGACCCTCCCGTTCCACATCTTAGGGTAAGGAATACTGAGTTTCTGAAACTTCCATAAAAACCCAGAGGACTGGTTTGGGGGAGCTTCTAGATAGCCAAACATGTGGGGGTTCCTGGAGAATGGTGAGCCCAGGGAGGGCATGGAAACTCTGCACTCCTTTCCCATATCTTACCCTGCGTATCTCTTCATCTGTATCCTTTGCAATATCCTTTATAATAAATCAATAAACGTGATTCCCTGAGTTCTGTGAGCCACCCCTGCAAATTAATCAAACCCAAAAATGGGATCATGGGAACCCAACTTGAAGCTAGTTGGTCAGTTCTGCAGACTTGCAACTGGTGTCTGGGATCTGACACTATCTCCAGGTAGATAGTACTGGAACTGAATTGGAGGGCCCCCAGCTGGTGTCTGCCGCCTGGTGTGTGGAAAAAAATTGGAGCACAGAAATTCTCAGTATTGACTGCTGTGGTGGTGGTGTAAGAGTAGAGGGAAAAACACCATTTGAGAGCGTTCTCCCTAATTCTCCCTAATCCCTAATGTAAAAGGACTGGGAATATATATGGCAAAGAACTAATCTCTCTACTACACAAAGAACTCCTGCAAATAGATCTAACAAAAGATATTTTTAAGGTTATACAAACTAATAAAAATGTTACTGTAAGGGAGTGAGACACTACTGTATGTAAACCAAAGTTTTTCATGTTCATTTTTTAACTTTTGTTTTTGAGCCATGGAAACTTATTACAGTGTTATATAATAAGAAATATGTTCAGTTTTTGTCTTCCATTCTAGACAAGGAGCTCCTAAAACCCTAAATTTCCTGAATTATAGGAGTGTCTTTATTAGTCATAAGAAGCCTGTTTTAATCACACCAGAGTTTATGCTAATGAGGTGACTTAAGGTGGGGCCATTAATAGTCTCAGGATTAAGTGGATGAGCAGAAAGACTAAGTGATTAGTGGGTTGGAACTTCTACCCTAGCCATTGACCTCCAGAGATTAAGCACTAGAAAAGCTCTTGAACAAGGAAATAAGATGAGCTTCCAGGCTGATGAACATATAGAGGTGATGCGAGGATGGCAAACTGAGAAAGGGAATGGAAGCTCTAGACTCTCCCCAAACCTTGCTCTATGTATCTCTTCCATTGGATTGTTCATGAGTTGAATCCTTTAGAATAAACAAGTAAAGTAAACCAGAAAAGTGTTTCTAGAGTTTTATGAGCCATTCCAGCAAATTATCAAACCTGGGGGGGGGGGTTGGAATCTCCTATTTATAGCCAGTTTGTCATAAATACATAATTTGTGGACCTGATGCTAACTCCAGTTAAAGAGTGTCGCAATTGAATTAAACAGAATCACTGGACATGTAGCTGGTATCCAGAAGAGTTGGAAAACTGGTTGCATCTGGTGTCAGGACACAGTGTAAGCAGAGAAACAGTGTTCCACAGAGCTACCTTTTAAGAAAATAAAATAATCAAGATACAGCCTTAAAAGTAGAAAACTTCTTTTGTGCCTACACGTAAAAGAAAGGATAGTTAGGAAAAAAAGTATGAAAGACTACCTGAATCAATGCTTCAAATGAAAGCAATATGGGTCACATAGATTCAACTGTCTACTAAGAGACCCTCTAGAGAGCTGTGTATCTTTAGGGAAACATAATTGGTAAAACAATCCCAAGCAAACTGTGAACCAGGAAGAAAACAGTCACAGATAAGATGATAATTATTAGTCAGTAATTAAAGAAAGAAGGAAAGATGCAATTAGTCTCTCAATGATATGTGCAAATATCCTCTCCTCTCAAAAAAAACCAAAACGTACCTAATATGACTTCTTCGTGCTGGAGATCTATGAATATCAAACAGTGTGTTTTCCCTCTTTTTTTGATGAGCTGGTACTAAAAGAAACAAAAAATAACAGAGAAATAACTAATAATAAACTGATACATTAACGTACTAAAGGAACAGAAATTACCTCTGTTAACTTTCTGAATAGAACCTAGCCATGTATCTTCAAGTTTCAAATGCTCTAACAGCACAACAAAAATAAAAATTATGTGATAATACTATGAAGTTGCAAATAAACATTCTCAACAGATGCTAACTTAATCTTTGTGACTATGGATTAGACAAAGATTTATTAAATATAATACCAAAAGTATAATTCATAAAAAAATTGTTTTAATAAATTGGAGTTCACCAAAACTACAACATTCTGCTCTTTAAAAGGTTCTACTAAGAAACTAAATAATAAAACAAATAACCACATTGAAAAAAATGAGAAAAGGACTTGATCAGACACTTTACTAATTTAACTGTTGGAAAAAAAGCACATGAAAAGATGCTCAACACCATTAGAGAAATGTAAACTAAATCTACAAAAAAATACTCTCTAAATTTTTTTGGTGGGGGGAATTGGAGTCTCACTCCATCACCCAGGCTGGAGGGCAGTGGTACGCTCATGGCCACCACAGCCTCAACCTGTTGGGCTCAGGCGATCCTTCCACCTCAGCCTTCCAAGTAGCTAGAACTACAGGCATGTGCCACCATGCCCAGCTAATTTTTTGATTTATTGTAGAGACGAGGTCTCCCAAAGTTTCCCAGGCTGGTCTCGAATCCCTGAGCTTAGGCAATCCTCTCAACTCCACCTCCCAAAGTGCTGGGATTACAGGCTTGAGCTACTGCACCCGGCCTTAAAATTAAGTATATAGACTGACCACAAGTGTTGACAACGATATGGAGCAAATGGAACTCTCACACACTCTTAGTGAAAATGGTACAACTACTTTAGTAGAGAATGTGACAATTTCTCAGAATGGTAAACATATACCTCATCATAAAACCCAGTCATTTAACTTCATAAAACCCAGTCATTTAATTCCTAGGTATGTATTAGAAATATAAAAATGTATGTCCACACAAAGACTTATACATAAATGTTCATAACTTTACTTGCAACAGTCAAAAGTGCAAACAATCCTAATGTCCTTTAACAAATGAATGGATAGACAAATTGTGATATATCCATAAAATGGAATGCTACTCACCAATGCACACTAGGTTACATTCAACAACATGGATGAGTCTTATAATAATAATGTTGAGTGAAAGAGATGAAAAAGGAATATATGCTATATGATTCCATTAATATAAAAAGCTTTAAAATGTAAACTAACCTATAAGGGGGGGACCTCAAAAACCCCAGAATTTATTTGTTAAAAAACATGTATTTATTCTTATATGTTTAAACTTCAGTCACCTTCAAAGTACTCTCCATTTGATGCCATATAATTCTCAATTTGCTTTATCCACACCTCAAAGCAGTTTTTGAACTCGTCTATTCTGATGCCTTTCAGTGCTTCTGCCATTTTTTATTTTACCTCTTCCCCATCAGCAAAATGTTTCCCTTTGAAGGCATTTTTCATCCAGAGAAACAAAAAAAGTTGCTAGGAGCAAGATTGGGTGAATAGGGAGGGTGGGGCATGGCGGTCAGGTGGCTTTTGGTCAAAAACTGTTAGGCATTCTGCAGGGTGTGGGTAGATGCATTGTCATGGTGAAAGAACCAGTAATTAGTTTGCCACAACTTGGGAAGTTTCTCCCACAAATCATGATGCAACCATCTTAAAACTTCCAGATAAAAACTGTGGTTGGCCATTTAATCTGAAGGAACAAATTCCAAGTGTACTGCAAGGGGCCTGCCCTCCAAAAGATAATCCCGGTTTTTTGAGGTACCCCCTTGTATAGAGACACAAAGCAGATCCGATCAGCAGCTGTCTAGAGACTAGGAGTGGGGAGGCACAAAAAGGGATAGGAGTAGATTACAAGCAGGCACAAGGATTTTGGAAGTTGATGAACTTGTTCACTATCTTGGTTGTGGTGATAGTTTCATAGGTATATTCCTATTTCAAAACTTGCCATAATGTATACTATAAATATATGTAGAAGGGAAAAAAAATCTCTTCTCAGATATTTGAAATAAATAAATGCAATAAACTGTATTTCGATTTTACAACTGAAATAAAATTCAATGAAGCCTTTTTAAATAACTTTCTTTAAAAAAAGATGTAAGTGAATCAAGAAATAAAATGATGTAAGAACTATTGTTTGAAATCTTTTATCTGCCATAATACACCTCCCACATTGTTTTCTGTGACAGGGACTCCTAACTACAGTAGAAAGATATCTACATATTTAGGCAAGATTCTATAGAGATACCTCTGACACACCCCTTCCAGAGAATCAATCATTATTTCAGAGATAAGATTTGAGAAGACTGTTTTCTTCCTTGAAAACATTATTCCAAGTGAAAAAAGATAGACAAAAAGTCACATATAAGCAAATCTACAGGGAGAAAAAGATTAGTGGTTGCCAAGGGCTAGGTGAAGAATGAAATACAAGTAATTCCAGTTGACCCTTAAACAACACAGGTTTCAACTCTGTGGGACCACTTATACATGAATATTTCTCAACCAAACGCAGATCAAAATACTTAAAAGTGCTCAATAAGCTATACAATGTAAGAGAAAAGCATTGAGTAGTATTTATTATAAACCCTTTGCACTCGATTATATCTCGTGGATCACCTAGCAGCAACTCAACCACACTTTTTTATAAAATATCAAAAATGAATCACTTCATATTAAATAGCATAGTGTTGGCTGGGTGTGGTGTTTCAAGCCTGTAATCCCAGCACTTTGGAAGGCCGAGGTGAGAGGATTGACTAAGCCCGCAGGTTCGAGACCAGCCTGGGCAACTATGGTGAGACCTTGTCTCTACAATACATCAAAAAATTAGCCAGGCATGGTAGCGCGTACCTGTAGTTCCAGCTACTTGGAAGGCTAAGGCAGAAGGATAGCCTGAGCCCAGCAGGTCGATGCCGGGGTGGCCATGAGCATGCCACTGCACTCCAGCCTGGGCGACGGAGTGAGACTCCAACTCAAATAAATAAATAAATAAATAAAAATAGCATAGTGTTGAAACCAATTATCTTATTCCAATGATATTTGACTTATAATGGAATTTGGGTCATGGAGGAACTTACTTATGACAAAAAAAATCAAAATTTTTATATCTTATATTTTTCTAACGTGTGGTAATAGAAACGGTAACTGACATGAATTGCAGGTTCTTTTATATATGTTGTACAATAGTGGTGTCTTCTTATTCGAGCAAAAAATGCAGTCTCATTTTCTTCCTCCCACATTAATAATATGTAATTTACTGTCCAGTCTGTAGTCGAAGACAATGTGGAAGGACATACTCATCATTCCTAAAAACCACTTCTCAACTAACTTATCAGAAGCTTGACAAATTTCAAATGTGCATAGGTTTTTCATTGTTTCTTCAAGGAAACACACATTTTTAAAAAATCTGTGCTTGAATAGGTTTGTCCTGTATGGAATCACCAGCAATTTCTTTACGTCCCTTGAGAGGAGATATCCAAGTGGTTTACTAGATTTAAAATGTCCCTTCAGAGTGGACATACGAGTGCAAAGATTTAAATATAAGTTTCCATAAATAAAATGTACATGCTCTATGTACATTAATCTTACTACCATGTACTGTTAATGCTTTTTCAGTTGCTTGTGTGCATAGAAGTATATGTAGGAAAGGATACCATATATGGTACCTGCAACAGATTTCATTGTTTTAAATTCAGCAGTAATAATTTTTTTAAAGGGGTAGAGCAGAGTAAAGTACCCAACTATAAGAAGGGAAAAAGTTACTTAGAATAACTCACCTATTGGAGGTGCCTGGTATCGATCCACTGTTTTTCTCTGTCTCAAATTATATGGTCTATCATTCTCTTCGCCTTCTGCTTCTTCAACTTCTATATCTCCATCTTCTTCTTGAGATTCTAGTTTCCCCCAAATGAAAAGGAAAAAAGCACTGTTTTAATCCAAAAGCACTGTTCTACTCTAGAACTGAATATTTACATTTTATCCATTATTTTTTCTTCACAGGTGACATTTAAGTGCCAATATTTTATATAAAGCATAAATCAATATAATTACAAATCAACCTAGGCAGATATAAAAGAAAATGCTTTGCCTACCAATTATCAATACAATTTTCCTCTAAATAAGTTAATGTGATCATATTTGATCCCTTGATTTACTTAGGAACTTTTAATCTCTTTAGACATACAAAGCAATACTAGAAAATAGACCTAGCCGGGCTCAGTGGCTCAGCCTATAATCTCACACTTTGGGAGGCTGAGGTGAGTGGCTTGCTTGAGCCCGTAGGCTCAAGACCCGCCTGGGCAACTTGGTGAGACCTCATCTCTACAATAATTCAAAAAATTAGCTGAGCGTGGTAGCGCGCGCCTGTAGTTCCAGCTACTTAGAAGGCTGAGGCAGAATGATCGCCGGAGCCCAGCAGATCAAGGTTGCAGTGGCCGGGAGTGGCCACTGCACTCCAGTCTGGGCAACAGAGTGAGACGCCAACTCAAAAAAGAAAATAGACCTAAAATCTTACCAAACTATAGCAAACAATCAATGCTCTATTAACCACTAAATAAGGTTAGCATTTAAATACCACCTTGTCATTCAAGAAAATATGGTTACAAGTAATTACTAATGCTATAGAAAGAGCAATTTTTGTTGATAGTATAATGAATGATAAGTTAGACGTGCTGATAATAGATTGGATTGGTTACATTTGGTAGGAAAATGCAGGTAGGTATTGGGAGGGAGCATGAAACAGACTTCTGAGGTGGTGGTCATAGCTTCACTTTTGTGACTGCTTTATGATAATCATCTACCAGTACACTTAAAAATAAATTATAATGTATATAACTCCTAAAAGCTTTTTTTAACCCTTTGTACTCAGAGACATCTCATGGATCACCTATCAGCAATCTGACTGTACTTCTTTACAAAACAGTGAAAAACAAATCACTTCATATTAAATAGCATAGCACTGAAACCAATTATTTTATTATAATGACATTTGGCTTATAATGGAATTTGGGACATGGAAAAACTTATTTATGACAAAAAAAATCAAAATTTTATATCTTATATTTTTCTAACATGTGGTAATGTGTGAAACAGTCACCAACATGCATTGCAGATTCATTGATACATGTTGTGCAATAATAATTTGTTTGACGTCTTCCATCTGGTATTCTTCTATTCCAGCAGACAATTCAGTCTCATTTTCTTCCTCCCACATTAATAATATGTAATATACTGCCCAGTCTGTTGTTAGAAGATGTGAAAGGACACACCTGTAATTCCTGAAAACCACTTCTCAACTGATCGATCACAGTTCAGCATATATTCCATCTCTTTATTTGCTCTTTTGTGTAATTTGAATGGAAAACTTCAAGGAAACATACATTTTTGAGAAATTTGTGCTGGCATAAGTTTGTCCTGTATAATCACCAGCAATCTCTTTATGTACAAGTGGTTTACTAGATTTATAATGTCCCCTCAGAGGGGACATACGAGTGCAAAGGGTTAAAAAATAGTTTAGCTGGCTGGTGGGCGCAGTGGCTAACACCTACAATCCAGCACTTTGAGAAGCAGAGGCAAGAGGATTGCCTGAGCCTAGGAGTTCAAGACCAGCCTGGGCAACTTGGAGAGACCTCGTTTCTACAATAAATCAAAGTATCAGCCGAGTGTGGTAACGCATGCCTATAGTTCCAACTACTTGGAAGGCTAAGGCAGAAGGATCCTGAGTCCAGCAGATCAAGGCTGCAGTGGCCGTGAGCATGCCACTGTACTCCAGCCTGGGTAACAAAGTAAGACTTCAACTCAAAAAAAAAAAAGAAGTAGTTTAGCTATAGCTATGTGACATATAATTACAGTTAAAATAAAAGTCTAAGCCAAATACAGTGGCACATGCTTGTAGTCCCATAGTCCCAGCTACTTGGGAGACTGAGGCAAGAGGATCACTTGAGTCCAGGAGTTGGGAGACCAGCCTGGACAGCATAGCAAGACCCCTGAACTCTATTTTTTTTAAAAATGAAATTTGCTGAAAATGTACACGCATATGGTCCTCAAATGTAATATACTTTAACCATAAGAATTGTCAATATAAACAAACATAGGAAAAATTTAAAGCTGTCAGTGATGCTTAGGAAGGCAGAAGACTAAAACTGCAAAGGTCTTTATATTTCACTCATGACACCTGAAAACTTCTTTCAAGTTTTGAAAATGTTTTATTGTTAGGTTATAGAGAAAAACTGACAAACACAATATTTATCTAAATAATATTATGAAATACTTACACACAAATAAGTTTTCTAAATCTCCAAAACATTACTTTTTTTAAAAATGTCTGTACAATTGTATACTACTCACTATGGGCAAAAAATTCTATATACGTCATACCTACTTTGCAAACTCTATAAAGGTATTCATCTACTTTGCAAACTCTACAAAGGTATTCAGTTAATGAAAAGGCAAAAATCACATTATAAATCTGTCTCACCTATACTGATTTTCTCCAAAGGAAGAAATATAGAGGTTCTAGCTGTAACAACAATAATATTTGCTCAATAAAGTAACTTCATCAGAAATATCAGCTCTTTAAAATTGGCTAATAAAATATTAATTATAGAATCTGAAAAACAAATGCAGTCTTCTTCATCTAAACTACACAAATGATGGGAACTAGTAAGATTCCCTTGTAAAGTACCACTACTCTGCATTTACAATATACCAAATGTCCTGAGAATCCATTTCAATAAAGATGAATGCCTACAGTGTACTGGTCATCAATTTATAATCCACAGGGCCAATGTGCTTTTCTCATGTCCCCAGTTCCAGCCCTACAAATTCAGTCTGCGGTCTTTTGACAGAGGCCTTGGAAAAGAACAGTACAATCCCCTCCACTATATTAGCAGACCCCCTTTCTCTAAACTTTACCATTTACTCCTTAGTCTATAACTAAATTTGAGATCCACAAAATCAGAGATTTAGAAACTATGGATCGCAAAATAATCTTCCAGTCAGAAGGTACCTAGGTACAAAAGAGGCCTCACTTAACAAGCAAATTAACCATGACAAATGCCACACTAGACCACTTAAGAATTTCCAATTACTAATTAAAATATATTACATAATGTATAACGTACAGTTAAAAGCAGTTTTCCAAATGAAGAAAATAAAAACTCAGATAGCCAACTGAGTTTAGATTATTTCACATTATACAATATAGACCTCAAAATCCAAAAATCATATACCTGACAATATTATATGCATATTACTTGTATATATTACTTTTCTTCCCTTCCACCTGAACTTTCTAATATTTATTTCATAAGGTGCTTTACAAACCTTCTTCTTCACCCTCAGTAGAAACTTCATGATGATTCTGTATCCCATAACTATTTCTTCTCAGTGACTTTCTTCGCCTTTTCACTCTTGAATACATATCCATGTTTTCCTTTTAAAGAGAGAAATCTGTCAAATTTTAACATGACATTAAGTCTCAGCTATAAATAGCATTAACTCAATGGGACATGCCCTGAGTACCTATTGTCAAGGGAGAGGCTCGTGAAAATAGAGATTCCTCAATTCAATAAATATAAGGAACAAAAGGGAAAAAATATTAAAGTTAATATTTAATATTTAATTTAAATATTTGTAAAATTATTAAAGTTAATATTTAATATTAAAAATTAAAAACACAATGCTATCAACATACTTTCTCCCTCAAGCAAATTACAGCCTAGCAGGAGAGAAATAAGGCAAAGCACAACTAACTATAAAAGAAAGTAAAGGTCTGGCACAGTGGCTCATGCCTGTAATCCCAGCACTTAGAGAGGCCAAGGCAAAAGGATTGCTTAAGTCTAGGAGTTCAAGACCAGCCTAGGCAACAGAGTGAGATCTCATTTCTAAAAAATAATAATTTTTCTAAAAAAAGCCAGCCTAGGCAACATAGCAAGACCTTGTCTCTACAAAAAATAAAAGTTAGCTGGGCCTGTAGTCCCAACTACTCAGGCGGTTGAGGCAGAAGGACTGCATGAGCCCAGGAGGTCAAGGCTATAGTGAGTCATAATTGTGCCACTGCACCCTAGCCTGAGTGACACAGTGAGACCCCAACTCAAAAAAAAAAAAAAAAGAAAAGTAAAATAATTTAAATAAGTTAAATGTCATAAAGAGGCAGAAAGTACTCTAAAACGCAAAGAGAAGACTCTCCTCTCATTATAAGGGGAAGAAAGGCAGCATATGAAGTAAACCTTGAAACAAAGACAGAACGCTTAAGTTGCTAACCAGAAGTTTTAACAGGAGTAAAACATATGGGAACAAGAATGGTTAGTTTAAATTTAAGCAATGGTGTGTGAGAAGATAAAGTTGAAACCAGATCATATAAAAGTCAAGGTACTTTTAATTAATTCAGTACACAATAAAGAACTGTTAAACGTTCACATCAGACATGGTGGCTCATGCCTATAATCCTAGCACTTTGGGAGGCTGAGGCAAGAGGATTGCTTGAGACCAGGAGGTCTAGATCAGCAGGTCTAGATCAGCCTGGGCAACATAGTAAGACCTTGTCTCTACAAAAAAAAAAAAAAAAGTTATATTGCAAAATTTTTTTTTAAGTTTACATCAGAAAAGTAATAGAATACAGTGTTGACTCATCTGGCAAAAGTGTAAAGAGTCTTTTGGGGAATGCTATAGAAAGAGGGGAATGGATAAAAGAAGCAAGTAACAAAATCCCCAAATAAGTTGGAAATGAAGAGGAAGGAACAACTATGCTAATTAAAAAAAAAAAAAAATCCAACTACTTCAACACCCTTTTAATTCCTCAATCAAAATCAAGAATGTTTGCCAAGACTGCTGTAGTTAATTTACTCACAAATTCTGTGTCTGTCCACATTCGAAGTCGTTCTACTTCTCCTGATCGACGATTCCGTCGGATGTTAATGTTGTCCATTTCCTGTAGTACAGCTTCAGCAGTACTACAATCATATAATAAAATCAGGATCTAGACAATGGTGGGACTATACACTGTGTCATACACATGAAAGAGCTCTTAATGAAAGCATAATGAAATCATCCTCTAATATTCTAATATGTAACTATACATAACATTCCAACCAAATAACTCTTTCATAACCAGTATCCATCAGAAAACAGTGCCCAATTTAAAAAAAAGATACAAAGAAACCAGAACGTGTTCTACCTTGATATATTTTTTAAAACAAAACTTTCCAGGGACTGGGCACAGTGTGGCTCATGCCTGTAATCCCAGCACTTTAGGAAGCCAAGACAGGAAGACTGTTTGATGCCATAAGTTCGAGACCAACCTGGGCAACATAGTGAGATCCTTCTTTAAAAAAATAAGAAAAATAAAATAAAATTAATAGAATTAAAAAATTATGGCCAGGCATGGTAAATCACGCCTGTAACCCCAGCACTTCGGGAGGGAGAGGTGAGAAGACTGTCTGAGTTCAGGGGTTCAAGATTAGCCTAAGCAACATGGTGAGACTTTGTCTCTATAATAAATCAAAAAATTAACCAGGCGTGGTAGTACATGCCTGTGGTTCCAGCTACCAGGAAGGCTGAGGCAAAAGGATCACCTGAACTCATCAGGTTGAGGCTGCAGTGGCAGTGAGCGTGCCACTGCACTCCAGCCTAGGTGACAGAGCGAGACTCCAACTCAAAAAAAAAATTAGCCAAGCACAGTGGCACACACCTGCAGTTCCAGCTACCTGAGTGGCTGAAGCAGGAAGATCACTTGAACCAAGGATTTCGAGGCTGCTGAGCTCATCAGGTTGAGGCTGCAGTAGCAGTGAGCGTGCCACTGCACTCCAGCCTGGGTAACAGAGTGAGACTCCAACTCAAAAAAAAAAATTAGCCAAGCACAGTGGCACACACCTACAGTCTCAGCTACCTGAGAGGCTAAAGCAGGAAGATCACTTGAACCCAGGAGTTCGAGGCTGCAGTGAGCCATGATCATACCACTGTATCCCAGCGTGGGTTACAAAGCGAGACCTTGTCTCTAAAAAGTTTCTCTAATAATAATAATAATAATAATAATAACAACTTCACAAATATGAGGTTTATAAGGTTCCAAATAAATAAATCTATAATACCACTATAAAAACTGACTACTAGATCCCATAACACTGAATAAAAAGACCTAATTCCAGTCTAGGCAAATAGTGAACCCTCGTCTCTACAAAAACATAAAAAATTATAGCCAGGCTCAGTGGCTCAGCCTGTAATCCCGCACTTTGGGAGGCTGAGGTGAGTGGATTGCCTGAGCACACGGGTTCAAGACCCGCCTGGGAAACTTGGCAAGACCTCATCTCTACAATAAATCAAAAATTAGCCAGGCGTGGTAGTGCGCGCCTGTAGTTCCAGCTACTTGGAAGGCTGAGGCGGAAGGATCGCCAGAGCCCAGCAGGTCGAGGCTGCGGTGGCAGGGTGCACGCCACTGCACTCCAGTCTGGGCGACAGAGTGAGACTCCAACTCAAAAAAAAAAAAAAAAGAAAAATTAGCCAGGCATGGTGGCACATGCTTGTAGTCTCAGCTACTTGGGAAGCTGAGAAAGGAAGACTACTTGAGCCAGGAGTTCAAGGCTACAGTGAGCTGTGATCATGCCACTACACTAAAGTCTGGACAACAGTGATACTCTGATTCAAAAACAAAAAGACCTAATTAAATATTTTTATTTGAAGATAGTATTAAGAATACCACTGTATAAAATAAAAGAATTTGTAAAAAGTTTAAAGCTACTATAAGGTTAATTGAAAGGATATTTTTAGAAATTAGAGCAGAATACTAACACCCAAGAAATACATGCTAACATGTACAATTTTTATCTCTTTAATAAACACTTATATAACATTTAATATGTGTCCAGATACTGATCAAAGCACTTAACAAATAACTTATACCCAAATTTCATAGTATGTTACCACTACAGAATGCAATTTCCTCTCCTGTCTAATAGGGATCATACTGACCTCCCTCTCCAGGCTGTTGTAAGGATTAAGTAGGATGACGTATTATCTGAGAAGAGTAAGGCTTTATGAATGTAGGTGTTAAGCTGATAGTCAGCAAGGCTCACTCACTAGCTAAGAGACTCAATCCCACATACCCAGTCTCAAAACACCTTCAATTCAAAATCTTGACTAAGCAAAACCACTATTTACAAAACATCAATAATGGAACTTAATGCTACTTGAAAATTAGCAAAAACACACTTGTTAAATGAGGAAATATCAAAGGAATATTGTAGCGAAGACAAAATAAAATTACTTATCATTTAACTATGCATAAGACTTAAAAGAGACAAGAAGAGTCAGGAGCAATGGCTCACATTTATAATGCCAGCACTTTGGGAAGCTGAGGCAAGAGGATTGCCTGAGCCCACAGGTTCAAGACCAGCCTGAGCAACATGGTGAGACTGCGTCTCTACAATAAATCAAAAAAATTAGCTGGGCATAGTGGCGTATGCCTATAGTTCCAGCTACTTGGAAGGCTGAGGCAGAAGGATCACCTGAGCCCAGAAGGTCGAGGCTGCAGTGGCTGTGACGGTGCCACTGCACTCCAGCCTGGGCGACAGAGTGAGACTCTGACTCAAAAAAAAAAGAGAGAGAGAGAGATAAGAAAACTAGCTATTACACAAATTATATTAAACTGAATAAAATGACTAAAAATCTGACAATCATGGGTACCTACTGTTAATTCAAATTAAGTATTAAAAGAGTTGTAATGTATTGTTAAGTCAGTGCTTACACTTGTTTTTTAACATAACAGGCTTTAAAAAATCAAATATGAAACTGCTTACTGCATAAGCATTCATACCTATTTACTAGTTGATCAAATAACAAACTCTGGTTCACGCTTTCAAATCTGTTTTTCCTGGAACGACAACTTTTTCTAACTTCCATGTCACCATTTATACAAGAAAGGTCCCCATCTCCCTTCTTTTCCCCTCGAAGGGGATGGCTTCGAAGGGCTACAAAAAGAGAGATATTTATATTTCAAAGTACACAGTACAAAAAGAAAGAAAAAGAAAAATCAAAAAATTACTTTTAAAAGACTACAAAAAGTTGAATATTACCTCTTAAATGGCTTCAATATTCAATAATCTAAAATTTCTATAACTGCTTTATAATCTGTCATAATAATTTAAATGATTACAGTTATACTGATTTCTCAAAGTTTAACAATTGTGCACATTTTTACTATGACTGAAATTCAGTCATTTCCAACTGTATGTTGGGCATACTATTAAAACAATTTTCCCCACTTTAATGCTTTCTATAACACCATTATAAGAATTTCAATAAAACCAGTTTCATAATAAAATACTCACATAAGCTACTATGTCCGTTTGGTAATGTAGCACCAGGCTGAGAAGTTAACCTAGAACACAATTATATTTAATATGCAAACACATCAACTTTTGTTTCGATAAGCAAAAAATGTAATACTGCTGGAATTATTTTAATATTTCAAGTGTTAGTAATATTACTTTTTAAACTGTACAGATAACCTTTTTTAAACTCTAAGATTAGTAATATATCATTAATAAAATACACTAGCTAGTTAAAGAGCAATTTTATTACTTTACAAAAAGCTTTAATAACATGATAATAAACAAAATTTACTCCACTGTCAATTCTATAAATTAAAATCCCAATGAAAAGATTTAGGCTTAACATTCACCATGAAAGTAATCGAGTCTATATATAGCAGTGGTCACACAAATTAACTATTAGTTTTGACTGACAAAATAAAATTCAAACAATCACATATCTATTAATATAATAAAGTATAAGAAAAAAGTGCTTGAACGCCATTATCATTTAATACTTTCTTTAAAATATTTTGTTACACATTCTAAACTGATAAATAAAAATAGTCAATTTCTCAAAACAGTCATTTTTACATTCTCCCTTTTGGATGGAGGAAGAGAAATGTAAGTCATTTGAAAGATACTAAAAGGGTCATCAAAAGATGAAGACTTAGCCGGGCTCGGTGGCTCAGCCTGTAATCCCACGCCTTTGGGAGGCTGAGGTGAGTGGATTGCCTGAGCATGCGGGTTCGAGACCCGCCTGGGCAGCGAGACCTCATCTCCACAATAAATCAAAAAATCAGCTGGGCGTGGTACCGCATGCCTGTAATTCCGGCTACTTGGAAGGCTGAGGCAGAAGGATCACTG